AGGCCCCTCTGGTGGCCACTGAGCTAAGCAAAAGGGTAAAAGAGTGAAATTGAATAAAAAGTCTTTACTATTTTTAGCAAGTGACAAATATTTGGAGATATCTCAAAATAAAAAATATGACACTTTCAATGGATAGATGGATTATATCATGTTATAATTTTCACTTAATACAAGATCAAATTACTTTTTTCAACTACATACCCATTATCAAACATGATCAATAACAAATAATCCAAAATTTTACAACCAAAATATTACATAGAACAAACTTTAACATCATAAATGTTCTTATCAACATATTAAAGTTAGTTGTTGAGAATTTTATGGTAATAATGTTCATTCTTTGTAATATTTGGTTACAAATTTTTTTAATTATTTGTTGTTGATCATATTTGACAATGAGTTTATAATTGAAATTATCAATTTAGATGTTACATTAACTAAAATATATAGAATGATATACTATTTTTTAATACCATATGTGATTTAATCTCTGATGATAAATAGCAAATTCTAATATTTTTTAATGTTTTGGCGGGTATTAGATTAATTAAATAATTTATTAGATGAGGAGCAATGGTGAAATCATATTATTTCTCTCTCCTAATATTACTTTTTAATTATTGGTTGGACCTAAATGTTATAAGTTAATAGATCTCAAAGGAGATTAGTGTAATTTTTAAAACTTATAGAGAGACTAGTGAAATAGTCAGAAACTCCAGGGGAGGTTTTTGGAATTATCCCTTGGTTTTGTCAACTGACAATGGAGGTAGTAAAGATTTTAGAAAAATAGCCTTGTTTGGATTGCAGTTTTTCGTCGAAAAATTGCGTTGTTGTTTCCCGTGATCACATTTTCCTATTACTTTTTTCTCTCACATACATCAAATTGATATAGTAATTTTTTCATAAAAAAAATGAAAAATACAATCCAAAACAAGGCTGAGTGATATTATGAAAAGCGTGAGGGTGGTTTTGGGAAATTATCCCTTACAAATGTCAATGGACAACGGTCCCAGCACCTAACCTCCATGTTCACATCTTCCGTACAGTTCTTCTGCTGCTTCTTTGCTAAAAGGTTATAAAGAAATCCACCTCACCCATGTTCTATTACAGATTCAATAATTGTGAGTACTTGGATCAAAGTCAAATTTTGCTAACTGGCAAACTTGATGGTCAAGTATAAAGTGTTTTTTCAACTGTGTCCAATAACAATTATTTTCACTATACATGAAAAATGATGGGAGATTAACAAAATCCACTTCTCTTTCGAGGACATTCAACTTTTCCTCAATTGCTTTGAGATGCTTCCGAGCCACCAATCCATGGACTAGTCCGTGTTGGATGTCAAAGTAGTTCTTTATTCTATTAAATTACATGCAAAGTAGTTGACCGTATCTTATAATTATATTTCATTATATATTATATTTTTTGATTTAATATATAACTTATGATTTTTCTGTTTAATATCATATAATAAAATTGTCATACTTCAATTCTTATACTACAAAATACCAAATAATAATTATTAATTATCTTTAATTACAAGTACTAAACTCCCACGCATAGCGTGGGCTTTTCCCCCAAGTAATGAATATACAATGCTCTAAAAATCTACAAATCAATACATTGTAAGTTTAAACTAATACTATTGTACATTTAAACTAGGGGTGCAAACGAGCCGAGTCGAATGGAATTTTGGCCTAATTAAGTCGAGCCTCCAATTAATTTTATGAAGCTCAAACTTGAGCTCGACGAGCTCAAAATGTCAAGCTCAAGCTCGAGCTTAAAAAATAAAAAAATAATAATTATTTTATTTTTAAAAAATAAAAAATAATTATTTTATTTTTAAAAATGAATAAAATAATCATTTTTTAACAAATAATAAAATATTATGGATATATATATATATAATTTTACTATTAAAATAAAAATAAAAATAAAAACATATATATAATCGAGCTCGTGAGCCAACGAATTTAGTGTTTTTGAACTCGAGTTTGAGTTCGATCTCGACTTAATTAGCTCGAGTTTGATATTGATCGAGTTTGAGTCAAGCTCGTATTGAAGCCGCTCGCGAGCCGATTCGTGAACAGCCCTAATTTAAACAAAGATCATGACTGCCACCAGCCCTTTGACCTGGTGGTCACTGCCAAGCACTTAAGTCTTGGTGGTGTTGGGAGATTAAGATTCAATCCTTGCCTCCCACCAAATTGTCATTATATGTGGCTGCTTTCGGTGGCTTTTTCTGATAGAGTTTCTACTTCTAGTGCCTCCCCCTCCCCCTAGATTTGGATAGATTAGATTACAGGAAGTCTTTAGAAGTAAAGCTGATAAAAATCAAAATTTTGAGAAATGGGAATCTTAGAAAACAAACAGGCAATTTAAGTGATGAACATGTTCTTTGGAGATGAAAACAGAGCTTGGCACGATAGTCCGCTGGACATTTTGTCATTGCCCAACCAAAAATAATCAAACCTAATTCATCCAGCAAAAATGTAATTTGGCAGTTTTCAATTCATCAAAGAAATGTTACATCATTCAATCTTTATTGGATACGAGATAAACAAGAAAAGTATTTTTTTTTTTTCATGTTTTATTGTCATGGTATGGCTAATCGTCTATTGCGGGCTTCCACTGACAAAGCAATTTCCAATCTTGAAGATATCATTGTAACGGAACTTACTAAAAAAAACTACTTCCACAACCTTCTGGACTTATTAGGTGCTTTGTCTTAAGACCAACGTTGAAAGAGGGATTTAAATATCTATTGCAGGAGTCGAATTCAACAAGAAATAGTTGTCCAGCATAAGACGAAGATGCAATTAACAATCAGGTTTTGGTCTTTCGCCGTAGAAAGACAAAAGTGTTGAATGTTCAAATCAAAGTGTATCTCGGACTAAAGTTCACTAATAATGCATGTCAGCCACTAGTTTTTCAAGCATCTAGAGAGTACTGAATACGTTAGTGCAATATGGTGGTGCTTTTTCTTTATTATTTTTCCGATGTCCTTTTTCTTTAATGCCGATTTTGGGAAAACATGGTGAAAATTCTTTGTTGTTTAAATTGATTGAAGAAGAGTAGTCAGAATGAGTCCACTTTCTTTGGGTAGAAAAAACAGAAAAATGGGTACATATGTTTATATATCATAATTGAATATGGGCAGGCACAGTTGTATTGTATCCTATTCTTTTGATATTTTGGATAGATAATTATATTTGATATTTTGATTTATATAAAGTTTCTTAATAGTGAAAAATGCTTATTTACTAGATAAGGTTATTGATATGTAAAATAATTGTTGGGGCCAAAAATTTAGGATGTGAAGAAAATATTTCGTATCTTTTCATTCAACATTTTGAATTACTAGCCTGTATTCATGATAGGTAGTTTATTTTCATGATTTTAATTTTCACAAATAATTGCCTGAGAATAAAAGAAGTGTAAAATTAGATTTCAGAATCTTTTGTTTAAATTGGATCTATATGACTTTGTACTCTTATCCTTTTTTATTGTCTCTAATGATAGATAATGTAATTAGAGTTTGAGGTGATTATTAGGTGTGAAACTGGACATTCGTTATTATTTGAGTGAAGGAGTTGGTAATACATGCAGGTTTATAGAGCGTCCATAACTTGATCTTCTTGCAAAAGCCACAAGGAATGGGCTGTTGGTCCCTTCAATGGGCAAGAGTTCCTTGATGGAGACATTTGGTTTTAGGGATAATTTCAGAAACCTCCCTTGAAGTTTCTGACTATTTCACTGGCCTCCCTCTAGATTTCAAAAATTATACTAACCTCCCCCTGAAATTAATTATCTTGTAACATTTAGACCCAATTGATAATTAAAAAGTAATATTATGAGAAAAAAGATAATATGATTCTATCATTGTCTCTTATCTATTACATTATTTAATTAATATAACACCAACCCACACATTAAAAAAAACTGCAATTTAATATTTATCATTAGCGATCAAATCTCATATGGTATCAAAAAATAGTATATCATGTTATATTTTTCATTTAATATAAGATCCAAATTACTCTTTTCAATTATATACCCGTTATCAAACATGATCAATAACAAATAATCAAAAAATTTACAACCAAAAATATTACATAGAACAAACTTTAATATCATAAATGTTTTTATCAACATATTAAGGTTAGCTGTTGAGAATTTTATGGTATTAAATTTCACTCTTTGTAATATTTTGGTTATAAATTTTTTTGATTATTTGTTGTTGATCATGTTTGACGATGAGTTTGTAACTAAAAAGATCAATTTAGATGTTACATTAAATAAAATATATAGAATGATATACTATTTTTTGATACCATATGTGATTTAATCCCTGATGATAAACAGAAAATTCTAATATTTTCTTTAATATTTGGGTGGGCATTAGATTAATTAAATAATTTAGTAGATGAGGGGTAATGGTGAAATCATATTATTTTCTCTCTCCTAATATCACTTTTTAATTGTTGGTTGGATCTAAATGCTACAAGATAATAGACCTCAAAAGAGGTTAGTATAATTTTTAAAACCAAGAGAGAGGCTAGTGAAACAATCAATAGTAGTAACTTTAAGGGAGGTTTTTGGAATTATCCCTTGATTTTGTCAAACTGACAGGGGAGGTAGTAAAGATTTTAGAAAATTTAAGAGGCTGAGTGATATTATGAAAAGCGCGAAGAGTGGTTTTGGAAATTATCCCTTACAAATGTCAATGCACAACGGTCCAGCACCTAATCCTCCATGTTCACATCTTCTGGACAGTTCTTCTGCTGCTTCCTTGTTAAAGGTGACAAAGAAATCCAGCTCACACATGTTCTATTACAGATCCAATAATTGAGTCCTGGGATCAAAGTCAAACTTTGCTAACCGGGCAACCTTGGTGGTCAAGTTTGTGTGGTCAACTTTGTCCAATAACCAATTGTTTTCACTATACATGAAAAATCCACTTCTCTTTCGAGGGTATTCAGCTTTTCCTCAATTGCTTTGAGATGCTTCCGTGGCCACCAATCCATGGACTAGTCCGTGTTGGACGTCAAGTAATTCTGACTACGACTAAGGACCGCATCTTTCATCTTACACGCCTTATAAGAGCAGGGCAATTCCAACAAGCTGAAAGTAAAAAGAACTTTCCAAAATTTCCAAATCCCAAATTCTTCCAATGGCCAAAAATGATCATTCAACAGTCCAAAACCAAATTGCTAGTATTCAAGAAACACATGAAGTAACTGTGGTGATGGTTCCCCTTCCTTTACAAGGTCATCTCAACCAACTCCTGCATCTCTCCCGCCTCATCTCCTCCTACAATATACCCGTTCACTATGTTGGCACGGCCACTCATACTCGCCAAGCAAAGGTCCGAGTCCAAGGTTGGGATCCTCTCGCCATTTCCAACATCCATTTCCACGAATTTTCCACCCCTTCTTATGAAGCTCCTCCTCCCGACCCAAACGCCCCAACAAAATTTCCCACTCAACTCATCCCAGTGTTGAATGCATCCGTCAAACTCCGGGAGCCAGTTCACGCACTTCTGCAACAACTTTCTAGCACAACGAGAAGATTGGTTGTTATTTGTGACTCTGTTACGCCATATGTCATCAAGGATGTGGGTTTAATACCGAATGCAGAGTCCTACACGTTTATAAGTATCTCAGCCTTCGCTATTTACACGTTTTCTTGGGAACAAGAAGGGAAACCTAGAGTATTTGAGCCTGAAATACTTGAAGCACTCGAAAGTCTTCCATCACATGAAAGTTCTTTACCTCAGGAGGTGACAGATTTCTTAAAATTGCAAAAGGAATCCATGCCAATTATCTCTGGCGATCTGTACAACACATGCAGGTTTATAGAGGGTCCGTACCTTGATCTTCTTGCAAAAGCCAAAACTGCCGATTCCCACAAGCAATGGGCTGTTGGTCCCTTCAATCCAGTTGAGATCAATGGGCAGAAAAACACAGAACAGAGACACTATTGCCTGGAGTGGCTTGACAAACAAGGCCCAAACTCGGTCATTTTTGTTTGCTTTGGTTCGAATACTTCAGTATCACACGAGGAAGCCGCGCAGATCGCGATTGGATTAGAGAAAAGCGGGCAAAAGTTCATATGGATACTGAAGGATGGAGATCAAGGAGATATCTTCAAGGAGAAGTTAGGAGAGCTCAGTTGCCCGGAGGATTCGAAGAAAGAACTGAAGGAAGAGAATAATTGTGAGGGATTGGGCACCTCAACTGGAGATTCTTGGACATTCATCAACAGGTGGATTCATGAGTCACTGCGGATGGAACTCGTGTATGGAAAGCATTAGCATGGGAGTGCCCGTGGCAGCATGGCCTATGCATTCTGAGCAGCCCAGAAACGCAATAATACTGGAAAAGGTGCTGAAGATTGGTCTATCAGTAAGGGACTGGTCTCGGCGGGACGAACTTGTGACATCCATGGCTGTTGAAAATGCTGTGAGAAGATTGATGGATTCAGCTGAAGGAGAAGAGATGAGGCAAAGGGCAAAAGAATTGAGCAAAGCAGTAAAGGATTCTGTTATGGAAGGCGGTACTAGTCGCTTGGAGATGGATTCTTTCATTGCTCATATTCGTAGGTAGATTTTCTGTTCATCCAACAAAATAATTATGTTCTTTAATCAGGAGAAATTCTGATTAATAAGGACTGTAACTTCTTGAGTTAGATTAAGTGCAATGAAATCTTAATTAGACTGCAGAAGATCAGCTTTCTAACAGTATTTCCATTAATTAAACACTTTGGCTCTCCTGTTGCGATAGTTCTTGTGCTATGTTTATGTTTATTGGCTAGTAGTTCTTGCTTGTTCAAAATTTTTGCACATCTCGATTTTGATCTCTAATTGTAAAGTAGAGACAAACACAAAACATCAGTTCTTGGCTCATTCAATTGTCTTTTTAGACAATATTAAATTGTCTTTTTCCTTAAAGATAATTGAACCTCATTCATTCATCCAGCAAAATCCAATTCATCCAAGAAATGTTACGTCATTGAAGAAGAATAGTCAAGAGTGCACATGATTCCTGGTCATTCGTGTATGTGCCCGTTAACCACTGGGCCATTGGCTCAGTGGCCACCACGTAATTGTGGGGTGGGAGGCAGGATCATCAAAAATATCACATCTAAGTGGATTGTTTCCAAAAAAAATTCAAGCGAGTGTGTTGTGCACCGTCTATCTAGTCCGATGGTAATTCAGTCTCTTCCGGATTATTTCTTAGCCTCCTTAGATCCGCCCCCTTCCCTTAATGTAGGATAGATTAGATTTATCGTCTAAAAAAAAATGTATGTGCCAGTTGTACGTGACAAACATAAAAATTTTCTTCTCTGATGAATTTTGCTTTTTCAATATTTAATCACTTAAGATTTTTGTACTGGTTCTCAAGTCCCAATTGTATATCATATGCTAAATTTGTGGTATGGGATTGAATGACACAGCAATTGTGATGTCGTGCCGTTCTGTACTATTATAGTGCTCGTTCCATCATTTGATTTACAAATACATTATTAATTTATTATATTGTTGTACTCGTTAAAAAAAAAAGTAATCTTCATTCCTTGTATATAAGAAAAGATGAAGGTTTAGTGCTTTTCTTTTCTTTTACCAAGTGGCTTCTTAATTATTTGACAAGTGACAAGGTCAAATATTTCTTGCAAATTGTCTGAAGCCTTCTCTTAATATTTCTTTCAAATTGTCCGAAACCTTCTCTTTCTTTTTGGCATTGAACTGTTTCTTTACCTTATTAGTGCTTTCTTTTTTCTTTTGCCATGTGGAAAAGTCAAATATGCCTTCCAAATTGTCCGAAACATGTTCTTTCTTTTGGCATTAAACAGTTTCTTTCTCAAATTGCCATTGAAGTCTTTTCTTCCTTTCTCTCTACCAGACGGCTATTCTGAGCCAAAATATGGTGCGCCTATTTTGAGCAAATCCAATTCCAAACGGCTATTCTACCAAACCCAATTCGAAACGCCTATTCTAGCCAAAAAGTTGGGATTTTTTACATGATTTGGGAGATGGGTTTTGTGAGTTCCTTCTTCAAGCCAGTAGGTCAACTGCTACTCCTGCAGACACTTGATTTCATGTTGTAGAGATTGCTGGTCACTCATATGGTGTTTGTACTTCAAAGGAGGAAAGTTAGGAGCAGGTGAATTACTCTTGTCTACACTTGCTGTGGTTTCCTCTTTCTCTAATATCAAATTAACCTATTTCATGTTGCAAGAATTGATTTCATGTTAACCCATTTCTCTTTCTATTAATTTCATGTTGCAAGAATTGTTGGATACTCACATGATAATTGTACTTCAAATGAGCGAAATTGGGAACTTTTTGTTAGATTAGGTATGACATTCTATTCTCATTAGCTTTGCCATTCAATTTTCTGCTCAAATCATGCTTTCTTTTCAATTCTCATCAGCCGTACGATTATGATGAGAAATATTTTTTCTGATGTGATTTTTCCCTTATTCCAATTATGATAAGAAATAGGTTTCCTATTCATTTAGCCTGTAACCTTTCCAGTGAATTACGAAATCAAAAAATGGAATAGAGGTATTTATCAGTGCATGGTGCTGGCTCCTCTGTCTTACAAAATGCAAGAAGAAGCATCTTGATCTTTACACTTTCTCTTTGGAGTCTCTTTGGTGAGAAAAAGTTTTTCCCTTTTTTTTTGTCAAATTTTCCTGTATAAGTAATAGACAGATTAATAAATTCTAATATACACATATGTTTCAATTGATAGGTTCCTTCTGCTGCAGTTCATATCATCAGTCAAGGAATCTTTAACTTGAAGGTCAGCTTGTTGTCTTTCTTGAATCTATGAGCAGCTTTTCTTCATTTTATGTGACTATATTTTCAAAAGTGAAATTTCACCTTTCCTTTTTTTTAGTAGTTTTTCTTCAGTTTCTGCTTCATTTATTTTAAGTTTGCTGGTGCTATTTGTTTTATGTGATCCTTTGTGAAACAAATGGTTGTTTATTTGAGTAGGTGATTGTGTTAATATTTTCTCAATCCAATTGTGTTGCTGCAACCCATTCACCTAAAAAAACAAGCCAAAAATGAAAATACGAATCCAGCTCCCAGTTCAATAATCCTTATTTTGAAATTTGGTGAATTCTTGAATATATATATATATATATATATAATATATATATATTATTAGTGGAATACCTACAAAAAAGAGAGATCCATTTGCTGATGTGATTCTGGCCAATTGAGCTATCCTACTGGTTTGTATATAATCAATGTACTATCAAACAGTCAAATTGCTATATACACTAGATAAAAATTGTAGTAATGGACATCAATAACATATTTTGTGAGCCAAAGTCATTAGCACAATATATTTTGTGAGACAAACTTTTGCTTGTGCTGATTTTGGGGTTGTGGCTGCTATGCTAAAGTTATTATTACATGACAAGTTCCTTTTTAACTAATTTCAACCTCCTGCTACTGGTGTTTTTCTCTTTAATCACAATGGACAATTTGGTAACACATAAAAATAAGAAGTTATACAGAACCTAAGATAGTTTTTCTTAGAATGAATTATAGTTATAATATCTCAGATGAGATATGTGACCTGTTGTTGTTCTAAATGAGAAATAGGAGTGATTAACAATTTTCCAGAGAACTTAGTGTGTGCCTTGTTTGCTGTTTCGTTTAGTCTAGACTTTTTTAGGGCATGAAAAGCTTTTAGAGAAAACACCATCTTTCTCTAACCTTTATTGTACCTTCTCAATTTCAAACCATTGATCAACCTAGAGATCATTGATAGATTTGATGCTTCCTTTAAGCTTTTTTCACAAGTAATCATGATCATTTATTTGGTTTAAGAAGGATAAGAAAAAAAAAAAACAATTGGTGTTTTGCTCTTGTTGCTTCACTTTCCCCACGTGGTATGGTTTATTTTTTTGCTATCTTTTTTTTTTTTTTTTTAATTTTTCATTTTTTTTAGTGTAAGTTGAAGGATTCGAACCTGAGACCTCTTACTTACACTCCCTCCCCCCATGCCACCTAACCCATCCCTCCCCCATCTTTTCTTGTTCATCTTTCACCTGATAAAAAACAATAAATTACCTTTACTCTCTTGCTTATTTATATTCATTTATTAATATTTTTTAAATTTGAACTTTTCCCCCTTATCTGCATTGAATTTTATTCTTTTTTTTTTTGCTTTAATTGCAAAATTAAAATTTTCATTTAAATTGAAGTTGCCTCTGTTGTAGGCTATTTGTGCTTTGTTCTTGCAAGTTTGCATACGTTGCTATGAGGTTTGTCTAAAAAACTCAAGATCAAATTTAAGATTTATGCTTTTGATTTGCACTTTTTTTTATGTACTTAGAGTTTTGAAACTGTTATGTTATTGATTAAATTAGAGGCCACATGTTTTCTGTTGGAAAGTTTTAGCTTTTATTAACATTAATAACCATTAAGAAATATAAATATGTTCTTCTCCTTAAAATCTGATAGTAAGTTTTGTTTATTATTGCTTGAGTTCTTGGTTATTATCTTGGTATCTATACATGACATGTTTGGCTCGAGTTAAAACTGACTATGTGTATGTACTTTTAGTTGCTATTGTATTAGTTAATCATTAGTCAGACCTCTGTGCTATGCTATTGAATGCGAAAAAGAAAGACAAGCGAACACTCAAATTCAATAGATGGTCTCTTTGACGAAGTTAGTTGTAACAACCCCACTTTCCCCTAAGGCGAACCAAAGGGGTTAGCGGACTGCCTGCTCAGCTCTCGCCAGGACTACGGATCAGATTAGCACGATCTAATACTTTTCGGGTCATACCACCGCGTGAAAACAAGTCGAACCCACAAAAATAAAAAAAAAACAAAGTCGGAGTCGGCCATGAATAGTAACCGACCCGTCAGAACCCAATCGAAAGAGCACACAAACACTCATATCGGAACTTTAGCGATAACAATCCAAAATGACATACAAAAGTTTTCAAAAGTTGATACATATACACGGTTTGCCAAATCAAAAGAGAAAACGCCCCAAAAGTACGCTTAGGGTTTTAATACATGAGCTATACAAAAGATATGTTCCACTAGCTCAATTTGGCAGCCATTTGTCAAATCCAGACCAAAAGTATTTATTTTTCCTGTAAGGAAAACAAAAGGAACAGAACGGGGTGAGCTTGCGCTCAATGAGGTACCAAACAGATAGCATTAAAATCATGGCATTTCACATTTAACAAATCAGATGTAAAGCAAAGGAACTAATGATTCAAATCAGAAGGATACAGGTGGCTCTCAGGAGCCAAATTTCCAGCGCAGTACTTGATCCAAACCAGTTGACTCTCCGTCAACGTATATAGAACCAACGCGTCCGTAGACCCCTCTTTACACCGAATTCCGTCCACCAAACACCCCTTTGCCGGGCCCGCTCACCGTAACCGAACAGAAATGGTAATACTCGAGTATACCCGGAATCAAGGGTCTCAATACCCACAATCCCGAACAGACTACCGTGGTTCGTTATCTAATCGTCCAGGCTTGCCGGCCCGACTCGAATAACTTAGCCACAGGATTGAGCTCATAGGTCATAGAAATCCGAACAGATGCAGACACAGATAACAGATTCAAATTTTGCATAGTAAATTGGCATATGAACAGACTAGAGAACGAGTGTGATAAAGTACACCTCGTCTCGAACAATAAACAGATTGCAGAGCAGAAATCAAGTTAAACAGCAATGGAGGGAGTGGTACACTCACCGCTCAACTTCAAAAGTTTTCACTTCAGATTGGCCTT